TCCCCCATATTTGAAGTAGACAGATGTTACTTTTTACAACTAGTATGTGAGGGAAGGAACATCAAAAACACATCAAACTGGATTTTCCTGAATCCAGAAAGAAGCTTATTGGTGACTTGCAGCAAAAGCAGCAGCTGGAATGGTTTATATTGGGGAAAGGGCTGATTAATAAAACTTAATGATGGGATTAGCACCAATAGCCAGTCAAGTGAAGGAGACAGCTTCCCAGCCGACTTTATTTAATTAACAGCAATTAATATGTATTCTGTTAATATCCTTTAGGACTCTCAATGACTTGTTCACCATGAAGGAGAATGGAGATGAAGTGTAGGAACACTTTCAAGCACCCAGGGTGGGTTTTCTGTGATGACAAGAGAGATTGCAAATTCATTTAAGAAAATGCTAATAAACATGTGGCAGGAGAGCTTTGTGAATGACTTTGTGGAAACAATGGTAAAACTGAAAAATGTTCTTTCTTTTGGGGGTAGGACACCTTAAAAGGGGGAGGGGAGGAAATGCTTTTGGAGAGAGAGGATTAAAAAAAACAGAAAACATCAGACTTGATGCAGCAGTAAACACAGCAATCCTTACAAGAATATCAGCATGCCTATATTGAAGATTTGGACACGTAATGCTTCAGACCACTGATTTGCTATTTTCTTAATTCTCGCTCTTCTTTTTCCATATGAATCAAACAGTCTTTTGTCCTTCAGGGTTTGATTTGATCGCTACTGTTCACATTTCACTTTTGTATTTTCCTCTTCCTATACCATTACTCATTGAGTGCCCTGTGAAATTACAATCGTACATTTTCAACTCAGCAACCCATTTGCAGTGCAAAAATAGGGTCTAAATAATGGCTGAATTAGCCCTACTGGACAGTTTCAGATGTAACACTGTAATAATTATATTGCAGGCTGGATTAGGATGCTATTATCATAATCTGGACGTTTACAATTATCTGTAATTTGCAAAGATGCGCCAGGTCTTGATTACAGCAGTGTGTTTTTTTTTTTTTTTTTTTGTATCACGCTAACCATCACTAAACAGTGACAGTAATAACAGCTAATTTTGCTGGCAATATAAGAGGTGCTGGGGTGTGCAAACAATTTCACACCTGGATGTGCTCACTCAACCAAGAATATAGAGAAAGAGCTTCTGCCCTGAGACTCAGAAAAATATTCTCCTCTGCTTCTGTTCAGTATAGATTTCTAGACCCTGAACATTGCTTAAGAGATATTCACTGAGGGTAAGTTTTTATTTTTTGCATACTTCAAGGAACAGTTTGGAGTTCTCTCCTCATACTTTCAAAGCTCTTGTGTGTTGTTGTTGTAATTTATTGTGGACTACAACATTGTTTTATACATTTTTTCAATTCTGACCTTTTACCCCTTTTATGAATTAAAGGATGTGTCTGGTGAGTAAAAGGGATGGGATGCTGGTGAGAATGGAGTCCCGAAAATCTCCATTTGTCTTTCTTGCTTTCTGTGTTGTTGGTGCATTTGGTGCAGTTTGTGACTGAAGGCTGGAGAAAGGACCAGGTTTCTGCAAGGTCCAAGCCAAAGTCCTCCTGAAAATTGTTAATGGAAATTAGTATTAGGAGAGTCCACTGAGGTCTTTATGTGTTGGTGATTTTGTGTTTTGGATAATAAAGACAGCAAATGGTTCTCATGGAGGGGCCCCTTAGATATCACAGGTATTCATATATACCTGGGATACATAACCCCTTCTATATCTAGCCTTCCCTTGGGTGAAAGTTTCCGGAATTACTGACCTAAAAAAAAAAAAAAATCTTCAAGGCTGCTTTGCAGGACCCTTTAAAGCTGGTGTATCTTGGTGATGGTGGTGGGATAGGGTGGGGTAGGATTGGATGAGGGTAGAGGCAGGATGCAGATCACGCAGTGTTGTACGTGGAGTGGAGTTAGAAGGGTATGGGGTGACTGAGACGCGCACCTCAGCTGAGGAGACAACGTTACAAAGTCGTCTGATTTTGAAACGCACCAAGGAAGACTCCTTCCTGAAGTCATGCTCCTCTATCTATAGATGACGCTGTTTCCTGACCCATGTAGACGTTGAAGACAGCTCAAGATGTAAAATGCAGGAGACTGAGAAATCTTTGGCTCCCCACCCCGGTGTGGAAAGGCCTTTCTTTGGTGGCGGGAACCTTTGGACTAAGTCATGTCAAAAGATAATGCGATGCTTATTGGAGCGGAGGAGAAATCATCTCCTCCCCGTTACCCGTTCCTGTCCCCCCCTCCCCCCTTCCTCGCCCAATCTTTTTTTTTTTTTAAATGGGAAATGTGGTCAGAACGAGGCTCTAGAACTCGAACTCTGCAACCTCTGGGGAAATTCTAACACGAAGAAGAGGAAGCGCAGTAGGCACTGTGACTGGGAGCTGACTTTTGCCCATGCCCCTCCTACCATTCCCTCCCTCAGCAATAGGTTTACTATAGGGTCAATGCTTTATATGGAGGGAAATATTAACCCTTGAGATTCAGAGGAACAAAAAGAAACCCAGCTCCTGGGAGGACCCCTTGGCAAAATTCCTTGTTTAATTAAAATTTATGTTAAGATATTCAAGTAGAGAGATCGATACACACACCTCCAATGTAGTTAACATGCATTTGCTTGAGTTTCAGAATTTCATGCACTCACAGTGGTTTGGCATGTATCTGGTGGATTTTTTAGAAAGAAAAATTAGTGTTGGTTTCGATGTATGGTAGCTTTTTCTGTAACGTAATTTGAATAATTCAGCAAAGCCCCACTACCAGCTGTACTTTTGCAGCCTCTTCCATTCTTTTCAGCATTATAATTTTGGTTAATTTTCAATTTTAGGTCCTACGTCTCTGCAATTTGTGTATGAATAACAGAATAATTTCCCTCTTTTGTTTCGCCTTTCCTGTTCCTGAATCTAAATAAAGATGGCTTTTTAGTATTAAAAGTGGAAGAAAATTACAGGTAATTATCTTTGACGGTAAAAACGCTGTAATCAGCGGGCTACATGAAAAATTACTCTAATTATGGCTGCATTTAAGAGAATGGAAAAAACCTTCTTGTGGATAAAAACCTTAAATTGTCCCCAATGTCTGCTTCAAATTGGATGGCACTGCAGCTGGAGGCTTTGTTCAGAATTGATCCTGGGGAGCTACGAACCCAAAGTTTCACAGTAGGAAGGGGGAAAAAAGAAAAGAAAACATTTTTCCTAATGTAACAATGCGAATGCTAGAAAATGACAAGACTGATCGGTTTTAAACCATTCTGAAGACTGACTGAGCGTGGAAGTTGCTCAACAAAAAAAGGAACGGGTATATTGGTAAGTAGTCTTTGCTTTGTGTCTAATTATAGTGACTGTCCTTTTGCACAACTGTATGTCGCTGTCATTATATGGAGCACTCTGAGTATCTCTATTGACTTCTGATAAATGGCTCAGTGGTTTCAAGGTTCATAATTTGAAGGATGCCCAGGTCTGTAGCCATTAATTCTCGCAGTATGGGGCTTCCTGCTTGTATGACGAAAGGACTTTTCATTTTCATTATTTCTGTGCTTTCCACAAGATCGGAAGGATAGGGTATTTTCCTACCTTGCTAACTTGCAAAGGATTTAAACATTAAGTAATCATAAATGCTCATTTGCCTTCTGCTTTTTTCTTTTATTCTTTGTCTTTTTTTGTTGTTTAAAAATGCTTCTAAACAAAGACAGATACTACTGCATTATGTTGGCTTGGGAAAGGGAAAGATTCGAATACTCAATTTCAGCACTGGAAAATACTGAATGCTAGAGATTCACCTGGGGATAGTGGATAATAATGTCTTTTTAAAATAGCTAAGTGTGTAGAAATTACAACAGAAACTTAATAGGTCAAGAAAACTGAGAAAATACCTATGGCTAGTGCTAAGTATTAAGACAAAGGCTAATGGTGCAGACTGACATCTTTGCAGGCACTTGATGTTTCTATATATGGCTTCCCATATTAGGAACTAGGACTTGTTTTAAGAATGATAGAAAATATAATTGAAGGGAGGGAGAGTAACAGAGGCACACAGAGAAAAATATACAGGACACTCCCAGCATTTTGTGGCTTTTACTCCATATATGAAAGAAGACAAAAACATACAAAGTATATGTACAACTAAAATTCAACAATATATACAGAAATGTTTCTCAATATAAACGTCCCTATTAGCTTAGTGAATGCCACCAATTCACCTAGTAAAGTTGTCAAAGCAATAAAATGGTGATTTTGGTTGGTTTCTCTCTCTGTCTTTCCTGATTCCAGTTCAGGATTTGGGTTTGGGGTAGGGAAAGAGTATTTTTTAATCATAATTTCTTCCCATTCCATTTTGATAAAACATGCAGCATTCCTTTTGTGGCACATTCTAGTCTTACAGCCAATTTTCCCTGTTTATTTTGAGGAGGGTTTGTTTTCCTGTCAGTCTGAGATTGGTAAATAAAAACACAGGAGTCCCAAATGCTTCTTTTTCATCATGTAATGTCTTAAGCTCATTAAACAAGTAAAAACGCTGCCATGTTTATGCAGATTCTTCTGGTGGGGAAAAATAATTTGTAAAAAAGTCGTTTTGATGGATACTCCCAAAGAGAAGAGGGCACTCAAAGCCTGGATTCCCAAGGAGAAAGAGAAAATATCCTTAGAGTAAGGGGTTTCTGGAGCGCTATCAGAGAAACCTGTCTCTCTCTCTCTCTCTCTGAGATGCAAGATGAATTGGAGATTGTTTCAGGGAGAGTAAGACAAGGTTAGAAAAGGAAAGGAGGAAAAAGGTATGAAGGAAGAAGGAAGGAAGGAAAAGCTAGAGGAAACAAAAAGGAAGGATGAGAAAAGAAATGAGTGAGAAAGAGAGAGAGAACACCCAGTGGGTCCCTCACCACACGCACGAGTTCTCCCGAGCCTGCTCCTTCGGCTCTGTTTGGCAGATGCAAGCAGGTCCCAGATCCTCCTTGCCTTGTCCGGAAGTTCCCCTATGGTAGCTCTTTCCTCGGCCAACTCACATCATCTGTGGTCTCTGCATCGTGTCCTGGTGTGGAGAGGAGTACCAGTGCGAATAGCCGGGCATGTAGCTGTTGGGCGGCATACTAACGCCCTTAGCGGAGGCGGAAACGTCCCACACTGGAGGCAGCGCCGGCGAGCGTGGCGACAGGGCCGCTGAGCCCGGTAGGGGGTCGCTCTCATGAGGGTTACTGCCCTGCTTCAGCAGTTTCTTAAACTTAGAACGTTTGTTCTGAAACCATATCTTCACCTGTAAGGATATGCAGCTATCGTTAGGCCCCAAAACCCATCGAATCAGTGCTGCTAGCGTCACTCATAGCTTTGGAAGCAATATACAAAAACAAAAAAAATCGCAAACGCAAACAAGCCCTTAAGTCTCCGCCTCCCGCCATGTCTTTTAAGTTTCTTTCCCGCCCCCTGCATCTGCCAGGTATCTGGTCTGGATACCTACTGTCATTGTAATTCTTCGGTGCTCACCAGGGTTCTAAATAGCAACATAAATAAGAATAAGAAAAAACCATTTAAATGAAGAATGAGATAGCTGAATGAGGTTCAAAGCCTAAAGGGGATTTTTAAACATAACACTTTTCTGATCAAAGCTATACAGCTGAATGCATTTCTTCTGATAGTCTGTATTTTGATAATTACCAACACCAAAAGTTGGCTAGCTGTACTCATGTATAGTGATCAATTGACTATGAAGAGATAAATATTTATAATCAAACACCTTGAATATATGAACCTATACATATTATTGCACACGTCATAGACTATGCATGGGGCCTGTTTCCCCAGTCAAATATGTCCACATAACACTGCAGGAATTAGGAGCTGCACCTCCCTCATTCTTATTTTTGCATATTGCTTAATCAAATTGTGGTCAACAATCATTACAATTGTTAGTGAAGTCAGGAATAGTCAAAGAGCTCCTGAAAATTAAATGTGAATCAAGAACCTGGGATAGAAGCACAAATAGGCCAACATTTCAGTTCTCCTTTATTTTAAGAATGCAATTCTACAGTGCGGATTTCTTTACCTTTAGAACCCCTTAGCTGAAATCCTGCTTTTCCAAGAGGAGAACAAGTAAGTTACAGAGTAGCAGGAATACCTTTATATCAAACCTCAAATATTTCAGAGACAATATGGTAAGAGAAAGAGAGCTGAATTGAAGAGTTTAGGAATCACACATTCATTCCTCAGCAATAGTCTCATAGAATCTGAAGTCACCTAGCTGAAGACCACCCACAGCATGGAGCTAAGTTAAGCAATAGGGACAAAAATGTAGGTGATTTTTCAGCCTCCCCCTAATATGCCCTTCCTATGAATTTTGAAATGCCTGCCCCATATGTCTTTCAAATTCAAATTAATAGAATGAGAGCATTTAAGCAACTGATTTTAACTACTATAATTTTGGGAGCATTTATCTTTGATCCCAAACTCTGCCATTGTCCCCATATCCTATGTTCCAAGGAGGAACTTCTGTGGGTTTAGGCCCTATCATCCAAGATGAGTTAACCACAAAGCTCAGACAGTCTTTAGAGAAGCCCACCTCAGTCATCCTAAGAAGAGTAGTTTCAGTCATAGTGCTTTTACTATACCCCATTGGAGTCTATGTCTACCTCCCCTCCCCCTTCACTTCATAATTTCCTTTTTATGACAATGAATATAAAACCTTATTAGCCCTTGCAAGAATCCTTAAGGAATGTGGACCTTATTCTGCCTCCTGGCTTGAATGCCTTATCCTACTATATGTTTGTTCTTTTATATTGGTCTGTTCTGGACTAGGACTCAACTGAATTATGAGTTTGATCACCAAAAGTTTCTAGGCTGGGTGGAGTTTGCAGAGTGTTGGGAGGATGTGCAAATCCAATCCAATATTTAATATCAAGTCGTTTATTTCAAACTGTGTTGTCCCAAGAAAGTGCATAGCTGGAGCAAAGGCATTTGTCACTAAGCTCCTTCCATTCTTAGTTGACTAGGCCAAGAATTCCTCTTGGTGTGCTCCCTGCCCAGATTGCCAGCAGGATCAGTATCTCAGGGTACTCGGGCTTCTTGGGAATTACCTGTGTTTGTGTCAGTCCTAACGAAGCTGCCAGTTCAGCTCTCTCCGGGAGGGCCAGGTACTGAGTCTGCTGGAAACGATGGTTTAAAGCCTGGAGCTGCAGGCTGGAATAAATGGTCCGAGGCTTCCGAATCTTTTTCCCTTTTCCATTGAACCTGATTTCCCCATTTTCAATCACTGTGGTTTTTTGTTGATCTGCAAGCAAAGGACACAGAAATGCGGTCACCCATTAGGGCACTGCTGCGCATAGTCGGGCCTGCACCGGGTCTCCCCAAAGCCGTTTAAGGGTTTCCTCAAAGCGTCATCTCGACATTCAGACATCTCTGGATCAAGGGTGCTGAAGCTTCTGCCCGACCCCTGCCTTTAGTCCTAACAAAGGCTGAGGGAGCGCCCGAGGCCTTGAGCAAACAGCCGCGGTCCGCTGCAGCGCGCCGACGGCTCATTGGGGCGCACAGCGCGGCGAGGCGGCTGCTCTCTACGCGGAGTGAGGCCCCTTGGCCTGACGTTACAGTGCCTTAAGCTGCGCTTGAGTCGCCAAGGTGTTTACGCAGCCGGTTGACTTAATGTCACCAGCTCCAACATCTGTGCACCAAGCGAGTTAGAAATAATTCTGCTAAGAGGGACCAAAATCTCAAAACTCAACCAGCTGCTTATATAAGCTCCAAAGCAGGGCTGCTCCTAGTAAGACAACTTTGACCCCCTCGGGTGCTTAGAAATGATCAGCCCGAGGCTTTTTGCTACGCCTCCACGAACAAAGGAGCAGCCAACATACCCTGGAGGAGGGGGCCTGGTCAAGGATTGGGGTTGGGGACACCTCAAAGCCCACGGGAAATAGCCCAGTTGTCACTAGCTTAGCAAAAGCCCGATGCCACACTAGCTTCCTCTCGGCTCACCAAGGCGAACCGGACACCCCACACAAAGTAGGCCACCGGCTTCCCAGCATGGGATAGGGAAAAAAACACGCTGCCCAGTGTGGGTCCAGAAAAGTCCCCAAGCCTAGCCAACACTAGCCACAGCCCGGAGAGAGGAGGAAGGCAAAAGGCGCACAGACCCAGCCGGTTGTAGAGAGCAGCGCGGGTCAACTCGTCGAAAGACGCCAGCGCCGAGCCCTGGCAGCGCGCTGGAGGCGGGGGAGCGAGGCTGGCAGCGAGGCTGGCCGCGGCGCTAGGCCGCCGGAATCCGCGGCGGCGGGAAGGGGCCGGGTTGGTTAAGGCCGGCCGACAGGCGCCAAGCGAGCGGGCGAGCACTGGGCCCGGCCGGGGGCGCGCCGGGCCGACTGGGGGAGGGGGCCGGCGGAGGCCCGGACGTTGAGGAAGTGACTAGGGAGGGCGGGCGGAGTGGGGGACAGCCGGGAGGCGGGAGAAGCGAGTTGCCCAAACGGCCTCTCACCTGTGTCGTCCCCTCGCGTCTGGGCGGCCGCGCTGCTGTTGTGGTAGGACTGGAGGTAAGGGCTGTGCTGCGAATGGCTCATGTAGGGGTAGGCGGCGAGCGAGCGGTGGTTGTAGGAGTTGCCGCCGCCCGACGCGTAGGCCGCCGCCGAGTGCAGGCAATGCAGAGGGTAGTGCGCGCCTGCCATGGCCGGGGAGCTCTGCTGCGAGTGCGGCTGTGGTGGTGGTGGCGGCGGCGGCGGCGGTTGCTGCTGCTGCTGCTGCTGTTGCTGCTGCTGTTGCTGCTGCTGTTGCTGCTGCTGCCCGAACTCCATGAAGGCGGATTTGGATGAGTCCTGGCCTTCCAAACCGTCAGCCATCGTAGTCATGGTCATCATCAAAACTTTGGGGGCTGGAGAAAGCTTTCTCCCGGGTTTCCTCCACCCTCCCCCACTTGGCTCGCGCCGCTCACCCCTCTGCAGCCACCTTAGCTCTTGGGATCCTTGCAAAAAAAAATTTTTTTTTTTTTAAATTTAAAAGAGGGGGGGGAGGTGGTTCTCCCTCTCCCTCGCTCTTCTCTAATATATATATTTTTTAATATAAAGAGATATAGTGAGCGGGGCCTTGTTAACTCAAAGGGAGGAGGAAGGGGGAGGGATGGGAGAGGAGAGGGGGGAGGGGGAATTTGCTCTCCCCCTCCCGCCTTCCCCCCTTGTATTTTTTGGGGGTTGGTGCAGTTTAAGGCAGAGATTTTAAGGTGGATTCTGCGAAAGTTGCGCGTCTGCTTTCAGACTTGATGCAGACGCCACGAGTCGAATGGTTTGTCTCCAAAGGGCAGCGCCTCCCCATTGGTCAGTCGCCCTCTGACGTCACAGGCGCACGGCTTCTACTGGCGTGTGCGCTGCTTGCGGAGTTCATCGCCTACCTTAGGCAACTCCTATCCCAGCGCTGGGCCGCGCTGCCCAGCGCTCAGGGCTGCAAAGAAGGGAGTCGGTTCCGCCCCGCCGGCAGCGAACGCTTCCCGCTGCAGCTTGCTCCCCAAATCTCGGAATTTCAGTTCCAATATCGCAGTCTTGGAACCTCCTAGCCTGGAGCTGTTGTCAAGCCTTTTGCACCCTAGCTGGTTGCTTGTACTTAGAACAGTACACCCTGCATTTAAAACCCCCACCCTTGACCTCCTCCAATCCCACGGGAATGCCCTGTCACCGTGGTTTTTTCTAGACGTATTTTATTGAAATCACAGAGGGAAGAGGTACCCCCCCACACCTGGGCTCCACCCCATGGGGGTGTTGTAAAGAAAAAAAAAAAAAAAACAGACCCTATTCTGGTGAGGTTCCTGCCATTTCAGGCAGTATTTCCTACATATTGAACAACAACAAAAAAAGTGGGGGGGCGGGGATCTTTTTTTCCCCCAGAACGCAGTAGCTTGTTCTGAAAGCGAATCCTTGGAGGACTGACAGTAATGCATTTTTTCCTATTGAAAACAGAAGCTACTGTAATGCTTTCAAATATATGCAAATGATACATGCGGTTAGTGGTTTGGCAAATCTTGATTACAATATAAACTACCCAAGTAAAAGTGCCTTCGTCCTAAATTTGTCTCTCGATTACAATTCCAATTGATTTTATTTTATTGTCAACATTGTTAATGATAAAAATAGAGTCGTTTTACAGTTATTTTTACTTTCTGGAAGGAGGCAATTAGAGTTCTAATCAGGAATACACAAAAATCTCCCATGATTAACTGCAGTACTTTGTTCAAATTGCTGCTATAAAATTCAGAACAATTTGCCTGTAATGATTATGGACTGGGTTTATTTTGGGAGGTGGAATAAAAGTGGATATAGCATAAATTATCCTCTAATTATACACCAGTGTCGCCTCAATTATCCTCTTATCAAAATGGTTGTCTAACTGCCGCATTTAGTTTCAATTCTCTCCTTTTTTTCTATAAAAAGAACTTCATACCTTGTTATTATTAATCCATTTATTATTTGCAAGGGGATTTATATCCGCACATCCAGGTGGTAGAACCACTTCGCTTTCAAAGATGGACTAGGGAAAGACATTAAGTTCGGAGCTGCCCAGGGCTGCGGATCTAGTATTTCTCTCTCCGGTCTCCAGACCCACTCGTGTCCAGGCAGCTGAGCAACGACAACGGAACCCGGACTCGCAGCTCTGGCCGGGCCATCAGGTAGGAGAGTCATACCCAGGACAAGGAGCCAGCCGGGGAGGCTTAACCCGGCTGCGCCGGGGTCCGATCCTGGGAATGCTGGAAAGCGCCAGGAGCCCGCACAGCCAGCTAGTCGGCACTGGGTGGGTGTTTCAAGCAAACCCCCGCGAGCTCGGCTCTCGTCTACGGTCTAGACTGATACTTAAACTTTGAGCCCTAGACCACGGAGAAAAGTACAGACTAAGAGTCCTGGGGTCGAGGTGCCTAGTCGTTTTGGGTACAAGCCTGGGATTCCCTTTAGGAAAACCACTGGTAATGCCTTTGCACCCTATTTCGCTTGGGCCGCAGAAGTTATGCTCTCTAAAGGACCAAAGAAATCGAAAATCTAGTGCTGCCGCTCGCTGCGGTAACTCCAGCAAAGCGTGGCTGCAGACCCCGCAGTTTGGTCTTTATTTGCATATGGCTGGAAGCTCACCGGACAGCGACTTATGCTAATTGATTTTCCCAGTTCCCAGCCCAGGGTCTCCAGGCTTCGCCAGTTTGTTTGCCTTTTTCTTTTTGCCTTCCTCCACTAGATCATAAATCTGAAACTCGCTGCCTGCGGGCTTTCTTTGGGGCTCCCAAATCTGCGCGGTTTGCAGTCCTCTTCCCCTCCCTTTCCCAGCCAGTCGCACCTCACTACTTTGGGCGTCGGGGAGCGGGCTCAGTAACTCTGAATTTATTCTTAAGATGTGTGCCTTGTTCCCCTCTTTTTAACAAGAGGTCCACTCTAACACGCGATCTAGTAACCTGATCCACGCGTTTACAAATCGACAGCTAATTAAAACAACAAAAAGCTTCAAGGAAAATGAAAAATGGGCTGTGTAAGAGGGAGATGTTTGTGGAGGGCTTGGGAGGAGCAGAGGGGATCCTAGGAAAAGAGAAGGTTCTACCCAGCGCTGCTCTGTACTCTCGGGCTACGCGCGGAGCTTCTTTGTAATGCCCTCAAATCCGGCAGGTAGACGTAGCAGTTTTATTGCTTTATATCCTGCAGCTTGCTGTTAACACAGTGAAGGCGTTCCCTGCCCCCCCCCCCATGCTTGTCTTTATGTTCGCAGGTGTACTGCTTTCCTCGTAGGCTTCCCCCATCTCTGACTGCACCCCTAACGGGGCGGGTAGGTTAGTGCTGGGGAAGGTACCCAACACTTGAGCAACCTATCCAGGGCGCAGCAGCCTCTATTTGCAAAGGGATTTTTCTTGTTTGCTTAATGTCTGAAGAAGATGGACTGGGACTGCCCAGCTAGGCAGTAGAGAAGTCCCCGCACTATGTTTCAGCGGAGCAAGAGTGCAGTTGCACCGACTTGGCTGGCTGGTGCATATTGGTAAAGACCCTGCTGAGGAACTGTGCTTACAGTTCACTGTTATTTATTTATTTAAAACCTTCGTACATTTGTATAGAGTGTCTTTGAATTAGAACAAGCAACTAGTAACAGTGGTTGCCTCTGGGTTGCTGGATGACTGAAGGGGAAAAGAGAAGTAATTTTCCTTATATATCTTTTTTATTTTTGTAACTCATACATCCTTCCTATTAAATTTTCACTTCCTGGTGAAAATAAATAAATAAAAAGACCCTGCTGAAACCTACTGAGCTGCCTGGAATGAGTTCATATGGACAGCTAGTCTGGGGCCTGGGCATGGAACAATCTAGGGGTCCCACTGGCCTTGACAGTGGTATTTGTATGTGCCTGAGGAATGGGATCCAAACTGCAAGCATGAGCGTCTCTCGTTCCCACTGGTCCTGGGCATAGTGAGCTGAAAACCACTCTTGCCCCACACTGCACGCACAGGTGGTATGCCTCAAGTGACTGCCATGTGTGGTCTCAGCCGCTAGCCACTCGCAGTTCAAGGAGCCGCTCCTCTGGGTCATTTCTTGCCAATTGAACTCAGCAGCTCAGCTTCCCAGTCTCACCCAGTGTCATGAATGGTGGTAATGAGTCAAGGGGAGACAGATGGAGTCACCTAGCCCACCCTGCACCTCCGGTCCCACTGAGGAACAAAAACGGTTCCTCTGGGCCTCTGGAGAAAGGCACACTGTAGGGGGCTGTAGGCCTGGCGCCTGGCCCTGGCTTTTACCGCTTTGTGTTGTCACAGAGGAACCCAGGACTAACCTTTAGGGTGGGAGGAGGAGAGGAGGGGAGCTGACCAATCCTTTATCATTCAAAATAGAAGTAAATCTGGCAATCTGGAGAAACTCCGATCTTCTTTTGGGGACTGTGGTAGAGGAAGGATCAGATTCGCTAAGAAGTTTAAGAGACCCATTGAAGGCCGGACCTGCCTTTTGCTTTTTATTTAGAGACATGGACTTACTATTGCCAACACAAGACCTTGTGGGTCAACAGGCCCCAGACCACTGTGGGAGAAGTGAGCTCTTTGAGTTGAGAGTCTCCCCGCTATTTCAGCTATGGGCTTGTGTTTGTGCACACATTCTTAAACCTAGACATTTGTTTGGTGCTGGAGGTGGGTTTGTAGCCACGTTCGACTGTATGTAGAAGTACCATTCAATCTGGGCAAGGCTTGGTTGGGTTTGGTTGCTAAGTTGGGTTCAGTTATCACCTTAATTCTAAAGAAATTAGACCTGGATAAATAGCCTTTGAATTCAAAGAAATAACTTGGTATTGATTTACATAGCTACACTAAGAACCCCCTTCTCAACACTAGACATTGTTGGGGGAAAAAAAAAATCCTGCTAGTCTTTTCCTCATTCAATGTAAAATTCTGTTTATATACATGTGTAGGGAAAGGGTGCTTGATGTCTTGGAAACCTAGACAGCCACCGCCCACCACACACACCTGTGCAAGCTTGGGGGCATTTGGGAGCTGCTTCTTTCCTGTTCTTAGTCCAGAACAACGATGGTACCTTCTGGAATAGCCAAAAGTATCAGACTGAGGGGAAAAGCTCAGAGTTGTGTGTCACACTCTCCAGTGATAAAATTGTGAAACTGTCTGATATGCCCTCCCTGCCCAGTCTCACCAAATCCAACCAAAAAGTGGACCCTGTTAACTGCATATCCAGAAAGAACCTCACTGAAGTCTGGGGACACATCTTCCTTATATTCCAGGGCCTGGGTCTCAAGAACAAATAGATAGCCAAGAAACCTCACCATGCCAGTGTCCCACTAGGGCTTCCTAGAGTTTTTCTGGACTTCCAATTCGGAAGACATTGACTAAGAATGTCTCAATTTAGAG